TAAAAAAAGGGGCCTGATAAACTGCTCATTTCATAAGAAAATTTCAAACGGCACTTAAGAGGCTTTTGCATCTGAACTCTTCATATATATATACTACAGGGCTGTTGAATGCTTGAATCTGATTGGTTGACGAATGTTTTCCAGACAGGTCTTGACTGCATTCCATGTCCACATAATACTTTTAAGTCATCCTGTAGCCAAGGATGGAAGTTGTGCTGGGTTATTTGAATGGTAGATAAGTTTATGAAATGTATTAAAAAATATATTAACTACGTTATATTAATGTAGTGTGTCAATTTTTATCTTATCTGTGTATCTAGTGTTTTCTTCGAGGAATCATCCTTGTGCCGTTGCGTGGCATTTTCTTGCTTCTCGTTCTCATGATCATGTGGCCGGTTTCTTTCATGATAACATTCGGACAGTCTCTGAAAGGAGCAGTGGAGCCCATGACTGGCTGGAGAAGGTAAATACCGGTCCCCGTTCACTCATGTTAAACACAGATACATGCCACCTCCTACATTTCAGCACAAGACTAAAATATACCTTTTTATGTGCGCCTTTTTTGAGCTGCCTATTCTCTTGGCCTACTAACTAAACCTGACCGTTAGCACATCAAACCTTACACCTTAAACTTACAGATAGTGCTACCTCTTACCATTTTCTGATTTTGTCTTAGTTCCTGATTTGTTCCTTTTTCTACATGTTAAAAAGATAAACATAAGCTAATAGTGATTTGTCAGGAATTGTGGGTGGGAGGAAGGTGGGTCTATGTATTTTTATGTGTGTTTGTTTCCTCTGTATTAATAATAGATGTGAGAGATGATGATGTGAAATTTGTGGTTTGCATATCAGCAGTTACACATAATTGCTGCATTACAGAACCCCTCCATTCTGTTTAATTCATGCTTCTCTGTCAAACAAGCCACATGGTTTCTTGCAAAACAGCTCATTTCGCTGGTTCTCGTTTCTTCTTGGATTGACCACACTGATCAGATTAATTAAGTCTTAGCGTAGGAGGTAGCGCGGCTGTTGGAGGGATGCGGTTATTCTCTAAACTGATGCAACAACGTGCTGATCTGACACCCGATGAGCACACAGTGTCAAAGCCGGTAAAGCAAGCTTGTTGTGCTGTGTGTATGTGTCAGTATGCTGGACTAATTGATGTCATTATCCAGTATGATTCCTCATGTTTGTGTGCTTGTGTATGTGTATTTGTGGGCAGGTTCATGCACAAAAGAGTGATGACCTTTCTAGGCCGGCTGTATTTCTTCGGCATGGGCTTCAGGGTGGTGGTGAAGGGGAAGCAGGCCAGCAGTGTAGAGGCCCCCATTCTAGCTGTGGCCCCCCACTCTTCTTTCTTTGATGCCATTGTCTGTATTGAAACTGGTCTACCCTCTACTGTATCCCGTTCGGAGTCCCTGGAAGCACCAATCTTTGGCAGTATGGATATTTGCATCAATATTGGTGTACACAAAAACAAAATCTAATGGCAAATGATTTCATAATGTATTCCAGTAGCTTTGAATATGTATGCTTTGTTTATCAGTTTAATTTCTGTTACTGCGAAATTGTGAGTACCACAGACTAAAAACTAAACCAGGGCAGAAAGAATAAAAAATGTTGTTAAATAGCCATTATTGATGTTAATTTTGCATGTGTTATTATGACTATTATCATTACTTAGCATTCCCTTCTTCTTCAGTGGGTAAGATGATATTATGATCCCCAGGGTTTTTGCGCTGTGTGCAGCCTGTGCTTGTTTCACGCAAAGATCCAGACTCTCGTAGAAACACTATCCTTGAGATTGAGCGGAGAGCAAAGTCTGGAGGACACTGGCCACAGGTGAGTGTCTCTACTTCTAGCATCCTAAAGGCCTGTAACACCACTAATTTACTCGATTACATCATACATGAAAGATTACACTGCCTCATTTCAATTATTTAATTTTTATTTTTTACATATGTGACTTTAAAATGGTCAAAAATAAAACCATGTTAAAAAAAGGTTTTAAAAAAATGCCTTGTGAATCTGACAATGTAAAACCAAAGTAACAAACAAAGTGTATTCCACATTTTGAAAGCAGGAAATTACTCTTAGACCTGTACTTCCCCAGCTAGAATAAAGAATGTCCGGTTCCCAAACAATGTTTGGTGTCAACATTTTGGATTTGTAATTAGTTTCTCCAACTGTATTATTTAAGAAGTAAATGTTTTTTAGCGATCAAACTGTGATCTGTGATTTTTATCCATCATAAACCACCATGATACAGTAGCTATGGTACCACTGAAAATATCACTGGTGTTATTTTATTTTTTAGGTGCTCATTTTCCCTGAAGGAACATGTACGAACAGATCATGTCTCATTACCTTTAAGCAAGGTTAGCAGATTGTGTTTATTTTTGTTTGTTATGTAGAAATTCTATTAATTATGCATATTAATTATAACATAGACACTATAATAGATATAACATAGACGCTATAATACAAAGTCAGTACATAATGAAGATTGTGTATGAACTGCACCGTATGGAAATCTTGTTGTCTGTTATCAGATAACTCATTTTCCTAATGCAAATGTATACAAGAGAAGGGAAAAAGAAACTATCATGGTATTATAGGTTTCCAAAGCTTAGTTTGTTTTGGCGTACTATAAAAAGTAGAATGAGGTCTGCTGAAGCCAGCAAAACACAGCACATAAAAGAGAGGGAGTATTGTGTCTATGAATAGGTATTATCCACACCACTAAGACTTTATCCCTTTGAGTCTGTGACATTTATTTAAATATATTTCAAAAAAACAAACTGTTTGCAGTAGGCTACATTAATTTAGCGGGTCAGAGTGATTATATTTATTATTGTATTATGTGAGATCTATAGATTTCTTTCTACATTCAGGTCATATCATTAGGACAGTGTTTGTTTCATTGATAATCATTGATTGTCCGCTTGAGAACCTGTCAGATAGCTATGACCTGATATGTAGGGCGTGGTGTGATCAATGGAGTGTCAGACAGGGATTTAACAGCATTCTGAAGCATATGACTCCATAAAGAAAACAGATGGAACTCTTGTACTGAGCAGTTTTTCATGAGAATGAATGAAAGGTGCTTACGTGCTACTCTCTTTACCTCCATAGGTGCCTTTGTCCCAGGGGTCCCAGTACAGCCTGTTCTGATCAGATACCCAAATAAGTTGGTCAGTATGAATTCAACAAAAGTCCTATACTATTGTTGTCATGATGCCTCAATTTTTGGTGGCAAGCACAGTGGAGTAACAAGAATTTTAAATATATGTAAAATACAAATCCATAAATAACCAAATAGAAAGTACTATAGCAGACCATAAAATTAGCATACAAATGCATACCTAGCAAACTAAAGGCTCTGCAAGTATGTCAGTTGAGCACTTACATAATCTGCTGCTCTTGTGTGAATAGATCAATGTTCATACCTTTTTAAATGGAAGATTCTTTACAAAAGTGTGTCTTTTTAATACTTATAGGACACAGTTACATGGACATGGCAGGGCCCAAAATCGTAAGTAGTAGCCTAATAAACATAAACAAAGCCAGAAGTATTAACACAGCTGATGAAATGCTTCCACAATTAGGTCTTTTCCAATTACTGTTACAAGGAAAAAGTCATCATAATTCAGAATTGAATATTATGTTGCAAGAAACATTCTGATGAACAGTACCGTCGCAAGGGCTGTGCCAAGTGTGAGACCGCACAGGGCCTTGCGCCTCTAGAGGGCCTCGCTCCTGGCCTGCATTTTATGTTGTTTAGGCTATGTCTAATTTTTATTACTGTTTTTCCACCCATTTTGTCCTTTGAAAGACTAAAATAGTCATAGATGATAGACAGTATAAGACTGTGTATAAGAATGAGTAAAGCTGTTTGTTGTTAGGATGACAAAAAGTTTTAAAAGTTAAACTTTTAGGCTGGTCTGCCTCAGTGGTCCAACAGCGCTCGTCAATGTCAAAATGATCGAGATGGCCAATCAGATCAAAGAAGGCGGGTCTTACTGTCACTGTCACATCGCAACGAGAGTTTGTGGAAAGATATAAGTAGTACTGTATTAGAAAACTGTTTTACGAT